TGGTCTTTCAAATTCACCCTACAACCCTTCGTGACACAAAACAAAGGAGGATATCGTTGAAACACCTTTTGCACCACCGGGAGCCTCCAAGCGTCACAAGTCTCGGACCACTCCCACGTGGTGGTTCAGTTCCAACACCTGTTTTTCGTTTCGTTGGTTCACCTGTTGCATACGACTGAACGGACCGCACTCCGTGGAGATCCAAACATGTTCGGGTCGTTGTTTCTTGATGGCCACGAGAATGGCTCGAACTCCGGTATTGGTTCCTATGTCATATCCGTTCCAATATGCAAAACGCTGTGCACTCGACGGGCGATTGGTGATCTGCTGCATCTGTTTTGTCAGAACGGAGTCCGGTGCGCAAGCAAGTTCAAAAAGAATGGGTTTCCTGGCCTGTACGAGAGCCTCCATACATTCAGGAAGCAATCTCTCGGCTTTCCAGCTGAGAGTCCTGATCTCAGAGAGACTTAGCTCTCGGCTCTGGCACTCAGGTGCATCCATCAGCTCTCCCTCGGAGAGTTCATAGGCCTTTGGTGGCTCTCCTACTGCGGCTCCGACACTGGATCCCAGTCGCTCGTAGAAGTGACGTCCTCGACGTTTGGCCTCCTTGGCATTCTGCTTCACCTGTACCATGTCGTCCGAGAGATTCTTCACGGTCACCATCAAGTTCTGGAGCATGGCTTTGACTTCTTCCCCCTGGCCAGGCGTCGGCGTGGTGCTCGATGATGGCCCCGTCGGATGACTGGGTGTCTTCGAGGTGTAGCCCTTCTTCTCCGGCATGGGCGGGACCTCGTTGTTCTCCACCGTCTTCAGCCAGTCGGCCAAGCGACGGAGTCGCGGACTGCACTGGCCTTCGGCTGCGGTCGTCAACACCCACTGGCAGTATGCCGGTTGTTGTGTCTTCACTTCTTGGTATTTGAGGTGGCACCATTGCCCAAATCCCACGGGGTCTTCCGCATGGCCAGGGATGCTGTTGTACGCCCAGTTCAGGGCCTTCATCTTGAGGATCTCCACCGTTTCGGTTCCGGTGAGGTCCACGCCCAACTCCTCCTTCACGAACTTTTGTAAGTCCGCCTTGCGGCGGGCTGCCTTGTTGATGTTCACTTCCATCTGTCGTAGAGGTGAGGCTTCTTTGGTCTGAGGTTGCATCGCGGCCTCTCCCTCGATCTCGATCAGCCGAAGCTTCAGTTGAGACTTCGCCCAAGCCCGAGGAGCCTCCTCGCCATGAGTGAGAAGACGCTGTGGAAGCTCGGCCAAGCTCATCTGGTTCAAGGACATGGCTCTCTCGCAAAGAATGAGGTCGATCAGATCGCGCTATGGGCACCGATTTGTCTCGCAGGCTGCGTGCCGGCACCCTTGACTCAACTTTCTCACAAATCATGTCGCCTGTGACACCTTGAACACCTGATCCTAATTCGTGTGCATGATGATCACAACCAAACACTGGAAGAGGGCCGTCCGAACGCTTCGGCGAGCTCGCGGTCGATGAGCGAGAAGTGACATCTTTCGAGTCGGAGTCTCGAGAGTTTCCATCAAAACGAACTGATGACTTAGGCCGTGGCTGATCCGACACGGTGTGCGCGCTGTGTGTGAGTGCCTGTTTGCTGTTCGCCTTATCTTGCGCTGTCCCGAATTTTCCTTGGCCTGGTGATCGTTTGATTGGGCTCACTTGGTCCACGTCGTGAAGGTCCATGTGATTACTTTCATTGTTCCCATGTGTCTCCCCTCCGTCCTTCGAGTTCCAAAACTTTCAGAGACCCCAGTGGCTTTCCAAGATCCACGGCCTGAGTGTAAATGTCATCCGTCAGAGGCATCAGTTGGTGCCCCGCGGACGAACGCTCAAGGCGGATCATCTTCCTGGGGTCCACATGTCGAAAGACTGCTAAGTCATGTTCAAAATCGATCACGGCACCGAGTCGTCGGAGCGAGTGGATGGACAAAAGAATTGGTGCAGAACCCTCATCTAAGGCGTGTACCTTCATGGTACCCAGCCTGCCTGCCATAGGCACCTGCAGGTCCGCCGTTGAGGCGCATTGGTTCTTGCTCGAATTTCCGAGCCCAAAAACAGGTCTATCGGAAAAATCGATGTTGGCCACTCCTGTTGCTCCCCGTTTACGGGTGTTCAAATCAGTCACGCGTTCAAGGGCCGTGATCGAGCCTATTGTCCTAGTGGCACCGCCGTCCAACACGGCCTTGCCTTCAGCAACGGCCTGGGTGGTGGATATAAAACTTTGGGACTGATCTGGAATCGTGTCACAGACTCCAGCCATGTCTTCAACTCGCTCGTTCCAAAAGACGGACGGGGCCGCTTCTTCAGCCATATGGCCCTGCGAAGACTGTTTTGGCTTCTCTTTGCACTCGGCGATCCGATGCGGACCACCACAACGAAAACACTTGATTGGAGTCCGGGCACGATTGCTGTCATCTCTCCCTCCAGAAGCGGCTGGTCGGCCATAGAACTGCCGTGACATCTTAACGGCATGTTGTCTGGCCCGAGCATCTCTCAAGGTGCGGCGGTTGTCTTGGATAGCTGTCATTGCGCTTCTGGCTCTCTCTTCTTCGGCCACCATAGCCTCGATCTCGTCAACGGAGAAACCCTCGGCTTCCAAGCTCATAGGATCGCATTCACCCATGTGACCCCACTCCTCCTCCAGCTCATCATGACCAGAGTAGTTGGCAAGGAAGCATCCTTTTTCTGCATCACGCTTCCGGATATCACTGTCCGACCAATGCTTCCGCAGAACTTCTTCCACGGCTCTCACTCCAAACTCGCCACGAAGCTCAGCATGGAGAACATTTCTTTCCATCACATCCAGGCCTGAGTCCATGAACAAATACCAACCCTGGATGAAGTCGGGCAGAATCTCGGGAAGCTGGTGGCGGCTCCATTCACTGGTGTCCTGACGGTCGACTGCCACTGGGAGCCATTCCATGACCAGTCGTAGTAGCCATACCACCCATGGTAGTGAGGATCCCACTCTTCGATGGGATCTTGAAACTCTGAATCTCCTTGTCCAGACGAGACCTCTTGGGGCTCCTGCTGACTATCACCTCCTGGCTCACTGCGGGCATGAGAACTCGGATGTCTTGCGACCAATGACGAGGCTGGTCCAACTGAAGTTGATGTCACGCCATGGTCCTTCTGGTATCGTGCCATTGACTGTTGGGCCCGACTGTATGCTTCAGCCTTTCGCAGAATGAAGTCTCCCATAGGTTCTCCTCGCTGTCTCTTGGTTCCCCGGAAATACTTCAGCAAAAGCTCAGACATCTTCTCGGGCACTTTGGGTTGGCCCCGTTCGGCACGAAGGGCCGCAACCAAGACACGCACTCCTCCATCGTGGGATAGCCAATTCGCCGGCTTCCCAATCAGCACTCGTCGGGCTGGTCCACGAAGTTCGGCAGCTATGCGTGGGCCACACAGGTACCGCTTCTCTTTGACCACGGTCTGCTCGTAGAGGAGGCATGTTTCAATGAACTCTTCAAAACAAACAGCTTCTCCTCCCCAGACCGGTACACCATCCTTGCTCTTCTGTACCCCAGTGTTGAGGCCACCTGTCGACTCTATACGGCTCGGCAGTGCAGAGTACCATGCATCACCTGTCCACATCCTACTGGAGCTCAGGGCTCCGCTACCATGCAGGTAGCCTCTTCTCACAAGCCAGTCGTGCGGGGATGCTCCCGGCGTCAACGGAGGTCAAGCTTGGTGGATGTATAGTGTCTAGTTCCTATCAATCAGCTCGCACGGAAGGACAACTATGGGCGGTCGAACAAGCGAGGTCGAATGAACCCGGCGGAACCCTAGGACACTGGATTTTGATCCACTTGGCTGGTAGCGAGTACCAAGGTTGGCTTGGGTACGAGTGACACATCAACATATATTATATATCAATATCATCTATTGTCAGGGTGCCAATCCAGTCCTTTGCCTTTGGGTGCCAGTGACTCCTACCATGCAGCCATAAGCAGTCCCAAGACTGAACAGAGTACAGCATAGTACAACCCCTCACCCTACAGGACACAGGAAAATAGCATGGGATAGCCTACAGTTCAGCTAGAGCCAACTTATATGTACAGTTCATACTAGTAGCAAGGACGCTACGAACGGGGCGATGCTGGCCTGCCAGCCGACCGGACCGGACTCTCTGGGCGTTGCGAGGCTCTTGATCTTCCTTTTGGGCGGTGGGCTGCTCTTCGCCCGTTCCAGCCTGGCGTTCAGCGGGAGGAGTCGTTTGGGAAGGGGGGACCGGGTGGAGCTGAATCTGAATGGTGCAAGAATGCATTTCTTCCACACATTGCAGGGGCTGTGAGGTGATGTGAGGTGCCAGTTACAAAATCGGTCATGGTGAGAAAGACCCCCTTCATGCCCTCATACCTGGGCTGCATACCTGGGAGAAAGAATGCGTGATTTCTTAATTGAGGAGAATGGTCTTCAAGTGGTCCATGGTCCATGGTCAGGTTCCATCTTCCAGTGACGGAACTCTGGACATCACGGGCATGATGCATCTCCTCCAAGCACCAAAACTGAGGCCAATGTCAAGGGTCCGAGCTCTTCCAAACTGGCTACCAGATTGCTATTAACAGCGCCACGTGACTCGGCTACATGGACGTGACCCGTCTTGTTATAGTGGATTTGGTGTGGTACAGGTTGTAGATGTTGTGAAAGTGGGCCAACAGGCTTGGGAACGCTGGCCTGCTGGCGCCTCTCAGAGCAAAACTTGTCAAGACAAATACTACTTTAACTATGTTCCATCGGAACTGCTGTGAGCTTTGGATTGGTGGAGAAAAGAGGCTGCTGCGGTACCAGTAGCGTAAAATCAAGGTCCTAGAACCTTGAAACATCATCTCTTTCCTCACTGACCTGGACATTGTTTTTGTTGCCAGTTGAGCCCTAAAGACCTGGACATTTGTCAACCTCCTCAGCTTTGCTCAGCCGTGATTCCACAGGGTCGGCGAACACGAGGTACCTTCAGAGCAGCGCAACCAATGCCGTTGGGACGGCGATGGACGCAGACTACGAGGTGCGGTGCGGCGTGTGTCACTACGTGTTTGGGGGGCCAGTGTTGAATCATGTTGAATCTTGATTCTTTGCGACTTCAAGCCTCTTCAAGAGCTTGGATCGCTGATGTTTGGGTCTCAATTCTGTTGGAATCATACATTCACCCGGCGTTCATTTTCGGGATTCTGGAGAATTGAAGATGGGTCTTAAAGAAACAGCAGCCAAATATCAGCCCCAATGGTGCAACAGCACGGGAGTTCATACAGGAGGTTTTGTTATACGCTCCCTGAAATCATCATGGAAGTGCATCACCACCTGTGAGGAAAATGGTTTTTGAGAGGGGCCTATTGTCAATGTCCACTTCCAAGACGATTCTAGTGAGTGTACATCATTGTATACCATTTCCTGTTACAGTAATATACTAGTGTCATTGGTAGTGTCATTCTAGTGGTTTGTGTATCCCGTTTTCTCCCATGCACACGTGATGTACCCATTCATGTACTGTAGTCGCAATAATTCTCGGCGTTCATTATTGCGGGGTACCCCAAATCTTGCTGGGCTGTTGACATCATGAGCACTTCCTCTCCTTGACTATCATCTTCCAAAATCTACGATATGCCCAGTGACCTTGGCGAACTGTTGAGGGAGGATGCCCGGCCCAACCTTTTGCACCACGTGAAGCTGGAGCTTTTGCCTTGAAGGTGATGAGCGAAGAGCTGGATCCGGCGGATGGCAGCAACTACACAGGCCTGTCCGCGGCGTCGCATGGTGCTGTGGCAAGGGCGAAGATGGGGTACTTTGAACCGCACGGAAAATTGGGAGATTTGTTGAGACCAGCAATGGGGGAGGAAGATGTTGGTGTCCTACAAGTGCATCGCTACTAGTAACAAGTGCCTTACTAGTCGTAACAATAAGAATTTTATTAGAATTGTAATTACTAGCCAAGGAATCTACTAGGACCTTTCTATGCACAATCATCATTCACCGCTTCGGGCTGAAAGGGGGCCTAATGAAGCCGAGCCCTTGCTGGAGTGATATGCAGGCGCGCAGACGCGCACGGTGGACGGATACTCGTGCATCCCGTTTGGGGCCTCAGCCAGGTTGATCCATGAACCTTGGAGCAGAAAGATGGGAGAATCTGCAGAGCCCCCATGCCCTCCATTGTGTTCCCTGCTCTTTTTTTTTCCAAGGCAGGGAGCCCCATCCAGGACCATCCAATCCAGCAAGAACTGAACTCGTGGGACTGTATGGGTTTTTTCAACCCGCCCAATCCATCAGAAGCAGAGCTTGTGGGAGGGTGGCCTTCGCCAGGAATGCTGGAAAGCTCAGCTCTCCATGCGCTGGAACCCCTAACCCGGTCACCACCATGAACAATAGCTCCGGCTTTCACTATCTTTCTAGGCTGAGTAGTTCACGTGCTTTGGCTGAGGGGCTGCCTGGCTGAGGTGGGGAACGAATGGCACAATGGCAGAAGCCTACACGCAGGCTGGAGGGAGTCCGAAGGACGCGTCGTGGGGGAGTCCGAAGGACGCAGCCGATCCTACCGAGTCGAGGATTGCAGCCTGAGGCGTACACGATATATATATATATATATAGGACACACATGGCACAACAAACAAACCCGAACATGGACACCTGCAAAGAATGACCTGCAAGGCGAATTTCCTGTAGATCCTCTCAACATCTCTGAACTGATCTGGGGACAACAAGTGTCGGGGGTGTAGACGACTTAAGACTTATGTATCATTGGCATTGCTTGGGTCAGGAAGCCTACCCCACCACCGACTTGAAGGACAACTTCTGCCCGGGCCCCAACGGTCATCTCTTCAATGCTAAAATCGGCTTCGCGTGGCTTCGCCGCCCAACCTAGGCCGCAATCCTTACAACGCGGAGACGGCAACAGATGATACGAAGGCCCCTTTGTGTCGTCCAAGCATTTCTTTTTCTGTCATGTGTCCTGAATTGGTGATTTGGTGTCCTCTTGAAGCATCAATTGAAGCTATGGAAGGCACTTTTGGTTCACGACTGCTGACCCAACCACTCTTGCAAGCTCTTGCCCACCCCCCCACACGTTTGGACAGAGCATTTTTGAACGCCCAGACCACCAGATCGTTGGAGGTCCGTCACCTCACCGGCCAGGCGAGCACCATTTGGTGCTTCACCTCCGATAGTGAGGTCCTTTGGCAGGAGTGTCAGCCCATCGGTGTGCTTCGCCCAGTCTGCCAGAATGGCCGCTCGGTGTGCCAAAGTGGAAGGCTGATGTCATGGAGGATGGGGGACGTCAAGATGTATAGGAATCATGCGGCAAAAAAGACGCGGCGCACATACCCTTCTCATGTGCTTCCAAGGGCCTACTCATCTGAGGCAGATGAGTAGTAGATTCATCGACGCTGCTATGCAATTGTTTGCATTTACTGCCTGCTTGGATGCTGTCTTTCTTTTGACTCTGTGACCCCCGAGTCGCTGCCCCATGCTTGGCTTATCAAGTCACACAGCGACAGCGCACTGGCTTGACTTGCTGAGAACATACCATGCCTTGATCCCTTCGTGCCAGGACAATCGACTTGGTCCCTCAATTTTTTTTAACGATACCTACCCCACAGGCAAAACGAGAATGTCGTTACGGGCCCCTGTGTTTGCCTATCAGTCTTGGTCCATGTTGCATGGAAATCCATGGAAATCCTCATGTGGTGGAAAACGAGCTTAAGAAAAATTGACCACTCATCGTTTATCGTTTCTTCACGCCCACTTCTTACAGCACGAGTCTCATCGAGCCTCCTGATGCTGAACAGATTTGTGACCAGCAGACATCTTGGAAGCACCTCGAAAAGAACGGCATCATCCTGGCCCCAAAGACACCCCCCACATGTTTCAATACATGCTCATGTAGCATGATTTTTGGCACCCAAACGAAGGCCACAGTTAACAAGCGTATTCCGTATTCATCGTTCTTTAAGACTGGCGGCACTGCCTGCCGAAGCGATAAGTGTGAAGATGTGTGAAGTCTAAGTGGTACCTGCTGTGGACCCTCAAAGGGGCTGTTGTCACCTAACAGTACATGTATTTGGCACAGTCACAGCACCCAAGGAACTCTAGTTTGGGGACGCTCTGATTTTAGAGTCCATTTCTATTGGGTTGCAGCATGCCATTGTCATCCAAGAAGCCAACAACATCCGACAACTACAACCTTTGATGACCAACCATGACAGCCCCATAATGATAGAGCTAGCAGCTAAGGTATAGTCCACTAGCCAGATGAGATGATCATAGATGGTCCATGATAATCCCCGTGCCTCATTTCACTAGTTTCACCAGATCTTTTTGGACTCATTCTTTCAATCAAAGAGCTGATGTGGACGTTGCCATATGGCCGTCCATGTCTGGCTCCTTTCGGCCGAGGCTATGCCGTCACCGACGAGTCCATCCGCACCGTCTTGGAGCCGCTCGGAGTCGAAAAGTGAGTCGCATCGAGACCGGTGGATGGAAGAACTCGAACTCCTGAAGTGTTCCTATGACTCATCTAAATGCATCTAAATGCATCAAAACATATCAAAACACTGTAAATGATTGTGAATGCCATGTGACGTCAAGAATGTGTGTTTCATTCAGAATGTGGATCTTTGGAGTTCACCAGGATGGTCAACTGGAGCATGTCCCAGGGTCCCAAGGGTCCAGCTCTTTGGGCCTATGGGATCTGATAATGGTCTGGCGGCAGCATAGACATGCATAGTACCATCCATAAATGCAAGGAAACACAGGCCGCCAATTCAATCATCCCTGGGATCGTGAGGTGCTTTTTGGTGAAAGATGGTCTACCGTCTTCAGGTCAGATATTTGTTCTACAGGGGGGTTCAGTGGTTCATCGTCCCCTGTCGAAACAGTGGCTTGTCCCTGTCGAAACTTACCCTGAAATTGGCAGCAAATCTAGCACAAGATTTTCTAATTCAAGGGTGAACATTATTGATGTTAATCATGTCGAGTTGAGTTGAGTTGAGTCAATTTGTTTGCACAATAAAATCCTTTGTCTTCCCTAGCAAGATGCCAAGCAACAAGCTGCACTCGCCCTCATGAGAAGATGGGTTGGATGGAAAGGTCGAGGTTAGTTTGAAAGAATCCAAGATCATCGTATTCGGCTGGTGCAGTTTTTAGCCTGGATTGGTGAATCCGGAGCTTAGTTTTGATTTGGTGATAAGGTGGAAGGAGGGAAACTGCATAAGCACATTTTTGTGGGGGGGATGTGTCAGACAGTACTTAACACCTTGACGGACCTCAAGGCTGGCTTTGGGACTGAGGTACTGCGCGTATGTAGTGTGGATCATTGCCGTTCTGTACTTGCACCTGGACGAAAGAACAACGAAAGAACAGCCTGAACGGTTGGAGGGAAACAATGGGAAACAGATTTGGCTTACTGGTACTTGGTTGGCAGATAGTGGACGTATGGGGCAGAATGGTGGTTTGAACACTCTTTATATCTCTTTATGTGTTGGTCATCTTGTGAACGCACAAATGGCCAGCGGCTAGCTCAGAGGGATTTGGATCAGCGCTTTTGCATCCGGTAGCCCATGCTGTTGACCATATCAGAGTCTCGTTTGTTCAAACTCGGTGTTTTCATGTTGCTTTCTTAAAGCAGATTGTGTTGTTTTAACTTGCTGCATGTCAGTCACCCCAACGCTTGTGCTTTCCAAGAGGACGCCCAGTGCTGGCCGAATCTAGTTCCGAGGTTCTTGCAGGACTTGGTACCTCCAACTAAGTGATGGGGCAGAGCGTTTAGACGAAAAGAGCAGTGTGACCTGAGGCTTTTGATCCTTTGCTTCTGCAGCCGAATTCGAGAAGCCATCGCAATTAACAAGGTGGCAGCGATCTTTGTGGCACCTCGAAGGGATCTTCGTGGGTTTGGGAGGGAGAATGAGGATACAGGATGAGGCGAACACTGGACCTTCCGATCGTGCAGTACGCAAGTGCGTGTGGTTTCACATGGACGAGAGTTGAAGTGAACAACGCATTTTTTGCAGGACTGTGACTGAGGGTATATTAGTGGGTATATATTATATGTTGCCATTGAGTACTCGGGTTCTCTTTCATTCGTGTTGGGATCTTTGGTGGGTGTTCGCTACACTTTCCATACAGCAAGAAAGGGGACGCTCAAGCATTGATGTGCTTGCTGCGGTCACGCCTCTTTAATGCAGCCAATTCCACATGGCATCAATTGCTCTACCTGATTCGGTTGGATATTCAAAGAAGTATAATACTGACATTCATGTTTGTTGACGGTTGGTCCCTTAGTAATGGATTCCCTACAATTCACTGAAACCCTCTCCCACCAAACCTCCTACGTTTTGTGCCATGTCGTCGCCAATTGGGTTGACCCAGGCCAGCAACCCGGTGGTGATCGTCGTGCCACTGGTTCAGGCGGTGCGCGGGTCCTTCCCCCCGGGTGGACTGATGTTGAAAGAGATCTGCTGTTCGAACGCTCGTCTTATGGCCGCCCGAAAGTGTTGACACCATGGTTGGTCAGACTGCCATAGGTCAAGATGTCACTCACATGTTGTCCAGTGTTGTCCAACCTCGCTTTCATAGTCCTATGCATAGAAGGGTCAGTTTAGCTCGAACTTTTTGGAGGTTGTTTTCGATGCACTTGCAATAAGACCCCCAGACTTTCCAGGACACATAGACTTACCTGGATCAATACATGACACGTGTCCAGTTGTATCGATGTCATGCGCAGCGGCATCACCCGCCCAGGCGGTGGTCGCAGCTCTTTGGATAGGCCTGTGGGTCTTCTTCGCCTCCTTCCTCCTCTCGCAAGTGCCCGAAAACTACACGCCCACCGAACCCTGGCAACGGGAATGCAAACTTGCAAAGATAGATTTAGTCAGCGCATCTAGAGCCTGAAGTGAGGTGAAACTCAAACGCATATATAATGTCCCCTGCCGAATAAACATAGAATCTGGGAGGTCGAGCTCAAAATGATCCTCAGATTTTATAGAAGTGTAGTCTCTAGAATGAGATGTAAACAATAATTACCTGAACAAAAAGCTAGCCTTAAAAAAGTGCCTCCACCAGGTGAGTTTGTTGAGCTATTCCATTTTATTGAGAAGGCATGACAACGCACCAGATGTTATAGAGGTTGTAGCTTTTGATTTTATAGAAAGCATTTGGAGTAGTAGATAGCTGAGAATTGGTTTCAGAGTGGATGGTGTGTTGTGAGGTCAGGTAGGTTGATATCATATTTTTAAATAGAAAGCGCTTGCATTTGTCGAAACCTGATATGTGATTTTATAGTACATGTATGTGCATGTTATTAACAAGACCGCTTCCTGATGTTGCACTGTGAGAATGCATGTGTGTTCCGAATCATTCAATCATCCTTTGATATCCTTTGTGCGATTTCCGGTGAGTGTTGGGATTCTAGATTTTAATTGTCCAATCATCCCTCTATAAAAACATGTTTTACACAGTAACTTGTTTTGTTTTGGCTCTTTTTCTTAACCTTCTTCTAAAATCAATTTCAACCCTGCAGTGTCCAAACAGTCCAATCATTGTCTAAAATCAACTTCAACCTTCATATTGCCCCCCACTTCACTTCTCTATAGAATCAATTTCAACCTTGGATTTGCATCATTGATTTTCCGCAATTTTGGCATCAACAAATATTGAGGAAGACAATAGCTTTGTCAAAAGGTTGAGCTGAACCATTTTACAGGGAACAGGTTCTCAGCACTGCAGTAGGTTGAGATTTAATTCTATAGTGGAGCAAACTGCCCTTTGAGGTTGATTTTTTCGTTTTATCATTGGCACAGTGAATCGTGCACGGACGTGTGGCCCTTGGTTCGAATCTGTGAGAAGTCTCGCGCACACGTTTCGCTTTGGTTTTTTCCAAGTTGTCGGAAGCACTTTGGTTGTGAATTGCGCTGGCAGGGCCGCGCGATGTGACCCTGCAAGTGCAGTACTTTTTGATTCTGTAAGTGCAGACTTTGCGACAAGCGCAGCGCATAGTGAAACTTAATGTTAACCTCTCATTAGTAAACCCCCTATGAAAAAAAACAAGTTTTTTTTGGTCCTTTTTTTCGGGGTAGTCAAAACTCTCGACCTTAATAAAGAAACCTCCAGGCTATTTGGCAGAGGGGATTTGGCAAAGGGACTTTCATTTGCTTTCATTCTGCCTTTAAAGTAAAAGGGAAAGCACAAGGCAAGGATAAGCCAGCAGGGCTGCAGGGGTGTTGATGATTGTAGGTTTGTTTATAATTGCAGGGGGGGTGGGACCGGGAGTCTAAAGGGGTACCCTTCGAAGACAATTTTTTGTATTTGTTTGATAGGGTTTGAATAAGGAAACCTAAAGCTTTTGGCTAGCCAATGATTTTGGCAATCTGATGGGCAAAGATCTAGAATCTAAAATAAAGATACCACAAAAGAAAAAGAAAGAAGAAGATAGGAGAACTTACAAGCAAAAGGGAAAGCACAAGGTAAGGACCAATTAGAAGTAGTATTGCAAATTCCTAGCAGGCCAAAAAGCATAATATTATTGACACATGTTTACAATTGAGAAGCAAAATGTTTATCCATTTTTGGGTCTGGATTTTGGCGCAGTTCAAAGTAGTATTGCAAAATCCTGGCAGGCCAAAAAGCATATTATTATTGACACATGGTTCATTGTTGGGAGGTGAACATTACTTTTTTTGCCCGAATGGCGCACGTGTGCTCGCAGATGCGTGCGCGTGGTGTCAGATGTGCGCTCTCATGTGTGCGCTCTAAATTCTTGTCGTCGTGCTCTCATGTCTTTTTATATGTTTGTGATTTTTTCGGGGGGCTTCTCGCCAGGATAACTTGTTTCAGGTCTTTGCTGGTGACGTACTTGTGGTGAATAGTGAAGAAAGCAGATGTTGCAGTGCATAAGCGAGAAGTTGTTGGGATGGGAAAATGGTTGGTCAGAATCTTCAAGTTTTTTTGTTGGCTTTGTGTTTCGATAGCGCACGGTGAAGCAGGCCCAGTCTCTGTGTCTTCCTCTTTGGAGGGAAGAAAAGTACTTTCGGAGGATCAGGATGGATCTGCTGAGACGATTTGGGGGATTATTCTGTGAGGTCTGAAAAAGTTTCTGGTTTTCCTATGCTACCATATGTATTGTCCTTTATTCACTGGAGGTATCCCAACAATCCCCAACACATCCTCATTTCGCGATGCATTTCTACCAAGGGCACCTATGAAACCTATGCAGAGGCGACAAGGGCGTTTTGCAAGTTTGGTGGGATGAAACCAGGATGGCATGACCTGTCCTGAACGGGTTCACAACACTCCCCAGACCTACAGATATTATAAAAAGATGTGCTTCATTTGCATGGTACAGTTGTGGCATGTTTGTAAGAGTTGCAACTTGGATGCAAACAGGTTAGCCAGGACCAGCAATGTGCAACTGGACCTGCACACGAGTCTAGTCGGCGGCTGATGGATCACCATCACCTGATCCCACAGACTTGATCCTGCTCGCCAGGCGCATGGAACAGTAGACACCCCGGGGCAATGTACTGGCCAGTGGCCCATGGGCTTCGCCTACAAGGCGAGCAGATGTGAGCAGACAGAGAGTGGGGAGTGCGCCACATCTGAATGTCGTACATCCCTGATCATTCCCCTAGTGTAGTGGCTGGTTCAGTCGTGATTGTTTTGCCTCCATCGGTCCCAGCTGCAGTATAGACTCGACTAAATACCCTGAGCCTGCAGGACGATGACAATTGCGATTTGGTGAATGGTACCTACCACTGCTGGAGGCGCCACTGCTACGACCTCCAGATATGTCCAGACGACACGGAGAGCTAGGGCGGCCTAGGGTTTTGCTGCCGAATCTTATCTTCCCATGAAGTGCCAAGTTATACATGATGCATCATGAAGTTTCCATTGCTCAACGGAAATCATCAGCAGTTTATTTTCCCAATTGTCCCAGGTCTTTGGGACATAGCCGCGTTGACTCCCACGAGCATTCGTTGACTCCCAGTCTTGCAGAGGGTGAGTCTTTGGGTTCTACCTGAGATTTCGGCTACCCCCAGGGCTGATTCCGTGAAGGTTTTTGTTGGCCCTCGCCCTCGGCCCGAGTGGGTCTGAGTGGCTTCTATGCAGCATCGCTCAGGTGTGCGCAACCGCGCTACGCCTTTGACGTGCGCTTTGCAGTCTCCTTCTTCATGCTGTTGTGGAACAATGCCTGGCACTCAATCATTGACATCGGACGGAGGCGTCGTGATGGCTGGAAACGTGGCATGTGCTTTTCAATCCTTTGGGGCCACGTTCTTCAAAAAAGGGGAACTCAAGCACATGAAGCAGATGTGCCGGGATGTCTGCTTGACTGCTTGACCCATCAATGAAGCACCTTGAAGCACCAAGCTAGCTTGGTAACTTTCGCAAGCTTCGGGGACCGTGGGAGGTGACATCCTTGACCATCTGAGGCCTTTAACATCGCTTGTGGGCAGTTCATCGTGGCTGGCGCTGTTCTTTGGACACTGCGGAGGGGACTGGGGAGCTGTTTTGGAGCCAATACCGCTGGGGATGCAGCAGTTTACTGCCACAAACAGCGGGACAGCTGCGGGCTTCTCTCTTGTCTCAGGAAGAAGATGGAAGAAGTATTCAATACGGATCAGTTTCCAGCAACTGAGGCAGCCGCCTGGTTCTTCACTCCAAACTCGGAGAAGGGGAAGAAAGGAGTGAAATGGCATGACCAATGCATGACCAGAGACCTCCGATTGGCTAGGACTTTGAACTATTTAGTAAAGTTTGCTACGCACATTCAGCCCACTCTCCAGTTGTGCAGCTGTGTGATATCAATGATGTCCATGATAATAGTGTCCATGATGTCTTGATGCAGATCTGGCTGCCAGGAGTTGTGCGACAGTCCTTGTTCTGGGCCTTCAGGTACCATTTTGGTTCCTTGGCCTTTGGCTCCTTCATCATTGCGGTGGTGGAATTCATCAGGTATACTTTGCCCCTGGGCGAAACAAAGGTGCTGGGAGAAGGGATTTGCCTCAGACTTATTTTGCGGCGGATGAGCGTCAGCAAAACGCAATTACAAGCCAAATAACCAACTATAGAGAAGGCAAGTTGGTTTCCAACCTCTTCTTTCACCCTCACAAGCCTCAGAGGCTTCGCCGTTCTTTTGCGCTGAGGCTCTATTTGCAGAAGCAAGCAGAGGCACAGAAGAACCGGGCCACTGGGCAACCCACTGCCGTCGAAACAACGGAGCTGACTGAGATGGATACCTGAACTCAAGCTGACTTGGCAACGAGTAGGTGAACTCAAGCTATCGCTACTAGGGCTGTGAAGCCCCTGGATACACACCGCTGGACCCGATCCGGACCCGCCGAACCGCCAGACGGTCCGAGACCATGGACATCGACCCCTGGGCATTGGCGGGGGGAAGAACCGACCGTGTTCCGCGGATCCATGCTGTATGTCAGCTTCGCAGGGCGAAGCGGTGTGCCCAGCGAAGCCAGCGAAGCCAAGGTGATGGTGTGCATTTTGAGAATCACCCGCTGCTGCCTGTGGTGCTTGGAGAAGTTCATCAAGTTCATCAACAAGTCACCTGGCCCACATAGACCCGTTGGTGACGTTTCACGCCGTGTCTCCGGTGTGTTTCTTCTCTACCTGGTTCGGGTTCTCGGCATGTCGCGGTTGAAAGAGTCCGGGCCCCAGAGAAGATTGCCTATGGATGCCTATGGTAAGAACCCTGCTCGCATGCCTTTTTGAATACTGGATACTATTGGACCTGGATCTATGGGGACCACATGGACGCTGGTCGTGGTGGCAAACTATTGGTGTACTTTGATGATTTTGATTTGGGAGTGACCTAGAGTCTAGAGTAACTATAAATGAAACTACTCCCAGATCTGAAATCTATAACCAAGTTTTTTGATAATGTGAAACTGAGCATTTGGCCACGCTTTGCGCAGAATCCGTTTCTATCTTGACTTGACAACAGGTTTGACAGTGTCAGTCAGTGCATGATATTTTTCCCAATTCTGTTGTTTTGTTCCCTAATTGCTTGATTGCTTCACTCCGCTTGCCAGTTGTGAGATCTTTGCATTGTGCCAGTTGTGAGACTAGTTGTGAGATCTGAATTCAGTTTGATTGGCCCGTGTTGGTAACGTTTCACCAAAAAGCGCCGGCACAGACAAACCCACAAACGCTTGGAAGCAACATGATACGCCACATAAAACAAACTACTCCAAGTGTTTCCAAGCGCTTCAGGCGTGCAACAGCCCTCGTTTTTTCCCCGCTGTGGCGAGCATTATTGCGACCCTGATTTTCGAGACCTGCGCCTAACTAAAGTAAGACAAGACTCTTGGATTGCCTTGCAGCACGAAGTTGCAACTTTGGCATTGCTTGATTCAATAGCTTGGCCTTGGCTCGAAGGGTCAGTTCCGGCATCTTCATTGTTGCCATGGCGGGAGAAGACCTTGAGAATCTGACCTTCCTGCGCGAGGAAGGTCTCATGGGTGGCGCCCGTTCTCTCGAGCTACTACCTCATGGCGCAGCAGCTTGCTCGAGGTTTCCTATTTTGGTCTTGGGGATTGGCGTGTGCCTGACTGCAGTGGCCGGAGTTCTCAGGAACGGCTATGTCAGAGCTGTCAATGACATCACCGCAACGCAACAGAAGATTGAACATGCTTGTGACGGCAAAGGCTGTTTTGGTGAAGGTCAGGGATCGAAGTTGACCTTCAATGGCATGTGCGTAGGCGTTGACCCGAACCACGTCCGCAACGGTGCGGTTGTGCAGCTCCGGCCTTGCAATGAGCACGGCAATCACATCAAGTGGCACTTTACGGGACTCCATGGCCAAGAAGGAAAGTTGCACATCAAAGCAAACCGGAGCCTATGCCTTGATGTGAAAGGTCACCTCTTTCACCCGCAAACACCGCTGCAACTCTGGAAGTGTGAAGATTGGAACCAGGATCAGCTCCTTCAAATCTCTACCGCCCCTGGAGATCGCTACCGTTTGGGCTGGAGTCGCCATCCCAATTACTTTGTCGATGTCAAGGACGGGAACAATGCTTCATGGACTCTGGTTCAGATTTGGACCTATGGAAAGCACCAGCTTTTCTACGACTCCTGAGGTTCACAAGCTCAGAGACAGGACGGTCATTGACAAGCTTCGCATCAGCTGTGAGCTGCGAATTCATTGCAGGATGCAGATATTGATTCAGACATATTCAGTGAACTGGTACACGGAATTGAGCACCGCTTGATTCGGTTTGTTTAAGCAGACTGACTGCTTCGCCAAAGGTGACAGCCACGTATATAGGTACCCTTTTCGGAGTATCGCAGCTACTCGGACACAATGCTCAAAACCGACAAAGGCGTGAAGACGTGAGCACCCAAAATCGTCAGTTTATTGTCAAAGACGTGAAGCATCTCATGAAAAGAGGCGCAAGTTACCACAAGTTGTTGTTCGAATTTGGACGAATTTGGACGAGAAACAGAAGACATATCACTGAAAGGGTGTGGACGAGAGGACCCCCACAAAAAGATGATGCAATTGCGGCACCAACGAAATAGAGGCAAGGTCATAGCTCGTGTGGTTTCAACAAACATCAATCAATTTCACAGCTGCGTCAAGCAGAGCATGAAACCGAGCTATTTTTTCTACGCTTTGTGCATAGGCTCTGTCGACATGGCTTGGTGAGGCGAAGAACATGAAAGCGCCTCCAGGTGAACCGAGAAGAAAACATGTGAATGTGTCCAAAAAGGTGCTGTCCGCAAATGCTTTGATGCATGACCAGATCGAAGATAAGCACATCAAACAGGTGACTGACAGGTGTCAGTCTGTGCATGAATTCATTGTTTCAAAGCCACGGATTTCAGAATCAGCATGTTTGAGTTTGGGGTTCGGAACATCTTGGAACAGTCAGCTATGGAGACAGTCAGCTATGGAGAGAAACGAAGCATACACGCAATATCCAACACAAAATCATAGTCCATCATTCCATATCATTCCTTTGTTTTGTTTTTCCCAATCGCTGGATTGCTTCACTCCTGTTGGGCCTTGTTATTGATATTTGCTACCTCACCTCCCCCTCAGGATAAATCCCACATGAACCAGTGGTTAAAAAAGTCCCGTCGTGTGAAGCTTCTGCAAATTGAACCTTTGTGGCGCACACCTTGTGGTCGTGTAAACGTCCCGTGGTGTAAAGTTCTTCTTGTGTAAACCATTTGTTGTGGTGTTAGACTGTAGGCCTCTTAACCTCTTCTGTGCTTTCCCTTTGGAAGCCTTGGACCTTTCGTCCATTTGGCGCCCCTCAAGTCTTTTGGAGCCAGCCTGGGCCAGTGCAAACATGCACTAAAGTTAAGGGATTTGTTTTGGCAAGCATTGGTAGACCAAGACATGCCTCACCTGGACATTCCAGTGGCTTCAAGTTCATGGATCTCTTGTCACAATTTGCAGTGTCCGCGATATCGGACTGCAGAGCAGTCTTACTTGCTTGAACAGCTTCACAAGAGAACCCCTCCCCGGCCCTACCTTCGTCAACAGGATTCAGCCTGGACCTAGTTGGGCTTGGCACAAGTGGAAAGAAGAAAAACAACTAATAGTCGAAGTCTTCCACCATGTTTCATGCCCACTGCCCAGCATCCACAGCCCATGACTTCAGATGTCTATGTCACCAACGTAGATCCGTCTCTACGCGTCCAGGAACGCCTACATTCAGATCGCCCTCACCGGAGCGAACTTCTGCACTGCGGCCAAGAAGGCCAGTTGAGCAAACAGATGTGGGAGAAGCAATTGAGAAAACTAGATGTACATCACAATGACAATAGTGCATATAGATGTTCATAGTTCATCTATTTCATGGGCATTGGTGACCTCTCAATATGTCCATTATAGCCCAGTGGCGCTCGCAGAAACAGGGCATTTGTGGGTGTGAAGTGCACGCTGTGCACTGTGTTTGAGACATGTTTTTACCTGACTCCCACCGCAGGGTGGGCTCATGCTGCCAAAAGCTGGCTCGGTCCGTCGCGCGTTCGCGCGCGCTTGCTGTTCGTCGAGGGCGATCGCGTTTCTTGCTTTCGCTGTTCTCGCACTCACTTTGTGGACTTCGTGTACCACTAGTGTCTTCGCATTGGTAGCGGAGCCTCCCCGCCAGGGAGGCTCCAGCTGCGCACTTCGCACCGCCGAGCAGATCGCCCGGGATAAGCCCTTTGTCACCAACCCCTTGCCGAGACCTTCACACTCCTGCTTGCTGAGTTCTTTGTTGGAGACCCTACGGGGTGGAGTGGTCTGGCCGGACTTTGGCTCCCTTTGGATGTCTGGTCAACGGCACCGGCAACAGCATCAAAGAAAGACATCGGCACCCGCGACTGGCTCCATGGCGACATCCTCCAGTGCCAAGGAGGATTCTACGTTTGCAGACATCCGGGACTCATTTGTTCCTCTGTTCAGCGGGCAGCCATCAGACTATCGCGAATGGAGGCAGCGGATCCAGCTTTACCATCGCAAGATGGTCTTGAGCAAACGCTCAGCCGAGAGCGTGATCAATGTTGTCTCTTCCTTCAAGGGCGTGGTCTGGCGCCTGTTCGAGGATTGGCCCTTGGAACGCCTGGAGAAGGACGGAGCTTTTGAGGAAGTCCTCAAGGTCCTCGACGGCAACTTCTCCTATGACGAGAGGGTTCAACTCCCGAACGACTTCGAAGGTTACTTCAACCTGCTGCAGAGGGCACCGGGTCAAACCTTGCTGACCTACGTCAATGACCACGAGGAGGCATATCGTCGACTCCTCCAGCACAAGGTGACCCTGCCAGAATCTGTCCAAGGATGGCATCTGCTGAGGCGAGCTTCGTTGACTCGCGAGCAACGCCAGTTGGTGACGCTCAAAGCCCCTTCCCTGGAAAAGACCTCCGTCATTGAGGCTTTCTACCTGATCATGGGCCAAGATTACAAAGGAGGTGGATGGAACCATGATCGCAACAAGAAGTTTGGGAAGTGGGGCTCCAACAAGGCGTTTGCCGCTCAGGATGATTGGGAGGATGCTGACGATTGGGGTGATGAAGCTGGTTACTATGAAGATGATAACTACCCCGAAGAGGCCTATGAGGAGGAGAACTATGACTTCGACTATGATGCTGGCTACTATGGTGATGAACCGTGGCCTGACTCCTCCGAGACCGGACTAGATCCTGAACAGATGGCCGAAGAATTCGACACAGCGTTCGCCTCCTACACTGACGCCCGACGTCGCTTCAACGAGCTCAAGATGGCTCGTGGGTACCTCCCTGTGGTTGCGCTCACCGACAACCAGACCCTTGCAGCTGGTAGCGGCTCTCCATCATCCAGTCCAACATCACGAAAGGGCAAGGGCAAGGGAGGAGGAAAGACCAAAGGAAAGGGCAAAAGCAACACCATTCGCTACCCGCCTTCCAGCGGTGGCAAGAGCGATCCAAAAGGCAGGGCAAAGGCCAACATGACCTGTTTGAGATGTGGCCAACAAGGCCATTGGGCCGCGAACTGTCCTCAAGGCTCAGCTGCATCCAAGTCCACTGGCCAGAAACGACCGGCTCCTACTGAAGGTATGGCACACCTCATCGACAACGAGATCACCATGATCATCTTCGAGGATCACTTGGGCCATGAAAGACCGGCTACACCACCTCCGAGCAGAAGTTGGTCACTGGCAACCTTCTCAAGCTGCGGACTTCGGTGAAGCAGGATGCAATTCGAACTGTTCAGAAACTGCATCGCAATCTTGGTCATCCTG